GCGAAGGATGAATGTGTGAACACCAAGCCCTGGGAATCCACACAGATCTTGAGGAAGACAAGAATGTGTAATTTGTCGTTGAAGCAATTCTATTTAAATCTCAAATAACAGGAATCCCAGCTAACACCGGGCTCCGTGGGTACAAGACAACCTTGATAGACCCAACTTCAGATACTTTGGGAGTACATGATTGCACATATAGATCTGCCAGGGTCCATTCTTTATTCTTTCTTTTGTCTTGATAACTATTTTTTGGACCTTTAGCATCTTCACCAGTGTTCATTCAATCAATCCTAGGGAGAGACGGGCCAACTCAGATTGATTTATTTTTCTCTTTGTTCCATCTCTGACAAGAGATGAGATTGGATGTCTCAACTGCACGATCATGTGTACACAGCTGAGAATGCTTCTGTGAGAAGTCTGCTTTGCTCCTTTCCCGTTACCTCCATGTATTTGGATGTGTGTATGTAGGCTCCTATAGAAATACCACAATGAACTTAAATGTGTATATAATTATTTCATTTCCTGGAATGAGTGAATTTACTCTTCAATCTATAAAAGGCCAATGAAACTTTTGCAACTGCTTGTAATATTTCTCAGCTGCTGTTCCAATGTTTTCCCCAAAACCATGTGCTGATTACAGTGGCAAGTGAACACAGAGTATTGTTACTTCCAGAATAATGACTTCAGAATGATATTATCTGGCCAGTCACCTGCACTGTTTGGGAGTGAGGACTATTCCTTAACTATAATAATCGACTCTTTAGAAAGTTTCCTCCTGGTAGGAAATTCAATTCAGAGAACAGAGCGTCTATAATGGAGGATGTCTAATGAGTCATTGGGAACATTAGAGAATGGGCAAGATGTTGTATTTATTTTTAAATGTTTATGTAATGCTCATTGCTAGAGGGAAACTAGCTATTACAGTTTTTGCAATTATCGTGCTGTTTTTCTTTTCCCATCTCCTGGAAAGCTACAAAAAAGGATGATCTGACATTATCCCTGGAATACATTCATGATCCTGCTGCTTCCTTTAGAGTGTTTGGGAAATCAGCAAACCTAACCTGCAACCGACTTTATTTCAATTTGGAAAGGACATGATAACACAAAAGCTACCAGGCTGGTTAACCATACTGGTTAGCTTCCTTAAAGTTGTTGACAATTTACCAGCGTGTTGTCTCCTATCCCATTTACTTATTGATGACGCTTATCCTGGCTAACATTTATCATGACACCTCGAGTCATTTCCAGTTGAATGCATCTGAGCTGATCATCTGAGCTCCTCTTTGAATTTTATAATAACTCTATTTCTATTTCAAAAATCCAAAGCAGGGCACCTAGGTGGCTCAGTTGGTTAACCGACTGCCTTCGACTTGGGTCGTGGTCCCGGAGTCCTGGAATTGAGTCCCATATCGGGCTCCCAGCTCCATGGGGTGTCTGCTTCTCTCTCTGACCTTCTCCCCTCTCACTCTCTCTCTCTCTCAAATAGGTAAATAAAATCTTAAAAAA